ACAATTGATTATATTTATAATTAATAGATTTGGTAAGAATTTCTCAAAAAATGTCCCAATATTATTTAAAGATGATCAGAGCAGATGAGAACTTATATTATAGTCAAAATTAGTAACATGTTTGAAGATGAAATATATTACCATGGAAAGACATGTTTACATTTGATATTATTCATCAAAATTATGCTGGTATGTATTCATAAAATATTATTATTAGCCTTATTTTACATTTTATATAGCCATGGACAAAACGTCCTTCCGAGACGTGTCCTTCCATGACGCCTACTTGATTTTTTTATATGCAAAATTTTCAAATTTATTATTTTTTTTCCAAAAAAATTTTTATACACCGAGAAAGTAAAATAATCAAATATTCATATTTTGATTTGATTTTAAAAATATCTACACAGACAGAGCAGAATTTTAGTGTTGAAGTTGAAAGTTAAAATTCCATGTCCATTTCACGTCCTTCCGAGATGCTAACTATTTATTATAATTTTTTCGTAACTTTAATTTTTTTAAACCTAATTTTTTGCCTAATTATAACTTACATATAGAAGAATAAACATACAAAAAATGGACCTTGTAACTTTTTTACTTTTGAAAATATTTTCATTTGAAGTGTCAAATGTCCTTCCATAACAGCAAAAAAATGCCACGGAATGGCCCGTATATTTTATGATTAAAGGATGATGTACCTGTATCAACCTATCCAGCAGTCTTAAATTCTGGAAGTCCCAATTTAATAAATGATGCTTAATGTATACAAACTAAGCAAACGCTTAAATTAACTCCTTTTCAAACAAGACACTTATCTATGACATACCCATTCTGTTTACAGGACAAGACTTTTTGCATTCTTGACGACATTTCTTAGGTTTACATCTGTCACTGTTCACAATAGCGATCCTAGTCAGCTTGTCTTGTTCCTTTCCAGCCATGGCCAACCGGGACCCTTCTACTGGGCAGTGCTATTCCTGAAATGTTCTTCAGAGTTTAACACATGCTTTTTGTTTCAATATTCTGTTTTAGTAACTGAATTTGTGTTAACACAATGAAGTGACTAAAATATTGTGTTAACTGTGTTAACAAGTAATTCTGAACCTAAATGTGTTAATATTGTAGGGCCTGCTCAGCATGGGGACCATTTCCACAGATATTTGGATCAATCTATCTCCCTGGGGAGTCTCACTAAATTGCTGTCAGCTCGACTTCCCACAGATATTTGAATCGGTCTGTCTCCTTAGGGAGTCTCACTAAATTGCTGTCAAATTGACCGGCTTAAATGTCTGTCACACCTAGTAAATCAGAATTTTGTCAATTAAAAGTACCCCCTTTTCTGAGTTCAAAATTTTTTGTTGTTAATTTAAAGCATTTATGCTGTTAATAGAACATTTCACATTTTTTAGAACACAGTAAGACTTTAAAGTACTTGAGTGAAGTTGGAAAAGCTATGTGGTCTATGATGTTGTTCATTTTGCTTTGAGACGTACTAGACAATTAAGCTGATTACAGATTGATCCTGCTGGACCGATAACTTTTAATCTGAACACAGCCTACCTGAGTGAGTAAGCAGGGTTTGAATTTTAATCAAATAAAAAATATGAAGGAAATGGGTCATCTTGGGCAATCCATTACATATTGTATAAATTTTCACATTTCCATTGCAGAGATTCATTAATGATCCTCCAATATCCAATCTTTTGCTTCAAACTTAGGTCACACAGGGAAAGGAACTCAATGGTCAAAATACACAATATCTCGTGTCAAGACCTGCACCAGAAATTAATCAGGTTATTGTCTTTAAATGGTAAGTTGGAATGGACAATATACAACTGCAAAAAGAAGATGAAAACACAATGAAGTCAAACCGATCTATCGTGGCTATCCAACATATGGACTGTTAATTTCGCCACTCAAGTTTACCTTTACATAACATTAACTGTGAAACGTTTCCTATTTAAACATAGAGATATATTCTTTGTAAAATATCTAAAGAATGTGTGTTGACTAACCTGCTGTACTGGCCTAAAACAATGATCGTTTGAGACTTCAATCTCTCACACCTATTTCACTTATCCGTGCAATCACCAAGATGGCCACCTAGTCATGCCTGCGCAAGAGCTTGCACGCAACTTCCGTTTGCATTAACTTCCGCCAAGGTCTTTCAAGATTGCACACCGTCTGTTCCCATGTTTAGACCTATCTGCAGCTTTTGATACAGTCGATCATGAACTACTTATATCTTTTTCTCGAAAATTATGTTGGTATCAGGGACTCTGCACTTAGTCTTTTACGCTCTTATCTTACAGGTCGCTCACAACAGGTTTTAATTAATGGAATATTGTCAAATGTGTCAGAGCAAGGAGTTATAACAGTTATAACTCCTTGGTCAGAGTTAGCTTGTGGTGTACCTCGAGGCTCAAGGTAGTGTTCCTGGACCTCTAATTTATTGTATGAATCCATTACCTATTGGGGCCATATTGAGACATCGCAGTATTGGCTATCACATCTATGCAGAGGATACACAAATTTTTACATGCTGTAATGCAGAAAATCCTAATGAATCAATTGAAAAGCTGTCTAGGTGTACTGATGATCTACTAGGGTGGTCGATAAGAAATAAGCTGAAAATCAATGATGGAAAATCTGAACTTTTAGTTGTAACTCAACCACTTAATCAGAAAATATCACAAAAATTGAACTAAAAATTGGATCCAGTATCATAAAGCCAACACCCTATTGGTGTTTTTTTTAGATAGAACACTTTCTACATGTATGAATAAGCAAATTGCCAGCATATGCAAGTCAGCAATATATAACATTAGGAATATAGGTGCAATTCGTATCACCTATCTGACTCTGCTCCAGCTACAGTTACAAACTGTTTAGTAACATCTAGATTGGATTACTGTAATTCTATTTTATATGGTTGTCCAAAAAACCAGATTAAAAGACTGCAGCTTGAATAAGCTCATCTCACATCTCAGCTAGATTATTTACTCGTACATCCATGAGTAACCATATCACCTCAGTTTTAAAAGAGTCACATTGGCTACCTCTGCAAGCCAGGATTTTATTTAAATTTCTAGTTTTTGTTCATGATGCTTTTTATACAAGTGCACAGATCTACTTAAGTGAATTAGTCACTCACTATGTTCCAGAAAGAAACCTGCGGTCTGTAGACAAATTGTTACTTAATAAGCTGGTAAAAATGTGCCTTAAAACTTATGGTGACATTTCTTTTAAATCAGCAGGTCCAAAGGAATGGAATTTATTTCCACTGGAAATCCAATTGAGTCTACCAAGCATTTAAAAAAAGAATTGAAGACGTCCTTATTCAGGAAATTTTTGACTAATCGACTTTTAAATTGATTTTACAAATTTTATAGTAGTTGCATTTGTGCACTGTAAGAAATAAGGCTGTTCTACTTATAATTTTTTCTGTGTGCAGATAAGGCTTTTTTTTACCCTAAATTGAATTAATTACTTTTTCTTAACAAACCTATTTTAGTTATGTAGTTTAAGTGCTTTTTATATGAGAATCCGTATGTTTTATCTAAAATACTCTTAATTTTTTTGTCTTTAAGCTCTGTAATTTTTTATCTATCCATTTCTAATAATTGATTTCTAAAGTAATTATTTTATGTATATGTAAAGTCTTCTGAACATGTTGTAATGGATTTTAGACTATTATTATTATATTATTATTAATAAAATATTGCATCAAAATTGAAGACAACCCTATTGTGGACTCTGCCTCCATAGTTAAAGGACAACCATGTCACTAACTCTTCTTAGACTTACAGGAAAGTAACATAGGACTTATGTTAATACAGCCATAGCTGGAAAACAAGTCTGATTGGTTGATTTTTCTGGAAGTAATAAAGGATTTTATGAAATTTTCATTTTTTATATAGTGGCATTTTCAAGCTTTATTAAAATATTTTTGGTTTTCTTTTTAATTTCTTTGTATTTTTCAAACACTGGCATTTTCAAATGTGACTCTCATCCACCTGCAGCTCTGTACATTTTCTGTATTTCCACATAAGCTATAATATTGGTGTTAATACTGTTTAACATTATGTAATATTTTTTTATACACTGTCATAATTTTTCACATATTGGGGTTTTCATTATGTGAATTTAAACTTTCACTGTTCCTATTGACCATCTTACCTGTTGCACACAATTAAGATTTAGTGTTGATTGATTGTGCTGTCATAAACATTATTGATTATTGCATCAAAATTGACAAAGTGACCTATATTCTGCATCTTTATTTTCTGCTTTTTTGTCTGTACATTTGACAGCTTTGCTGCCTTGTTTAAATTTTTTTCTACATGTACTATATATGAAAATCACCTCAGTGTTTTATTAATGTGACAGGCCTAAAAAATAAGCACATTAGTAAAGGAAAATAAAAAAAAAATCAGCAAAATCAGTCCTTTGTTTCAGTTTACCATAAGTGTCCATCGGCTATATTAGGGGAGACCAGATCTAGTTGGCCCAGTTAGAGGCCAACTAGGAATGATTATGAGTATCAAAACCGGTTTCAAAGTAAGCCCCATGAACTAAACTATGTATGCAACGTCATTATTTTTCAAATATAATGCCAGATGGCTAAGTATCCCATGTAAACACCTTGAAATACATTTTTTTACATTTTTAATTTATAAAATTGAATTTGAGAGTCTTTGATGAATAAATGGTTCGAATGAGGCAGATTTATTGAGGTTTCCGTACGTCACGTTGTATGTGTTGCCAGAACCAAAATATCTATCAATAAAATGTTTTGTTTTAATTAACAATAAATTTATAATGGTATAAAGCGGGTTTTTAATGAATTAAAACTAATAATAAATTTCGTTTTTAAAGAAAGTAAGAAATGCAGTTTTAAACCATTGAGTTTCTTTCAACAGTGCTTTCTAGCTCTGTTGTGTGGTAAGGTTTGTGGGCAATATGAGGGTACAACTTTCCCCAAGTCAAGGGGGCCAACGTAATTAATTAACTAGCCACGGGTGCACATTTTTATTTTAAAGGATGGCAGCCATTTATGTTGCTAGAATGAGCAACGATGATACATCTCTGTGAAACTTGAAACAATTAGCTTCAGTTTGATGCCCTATACATATATTTTATTCGATCAAAAGCCTATGCAAATAGATTTTTAAATCTCTTAAACAAAATTACTTTTAGGTGCAAAAATACCAAGGGTCCACCCCATATTTTACCATCAAACTTTCAAATATTTCCAATATTATCTTCATAAAGTAAAAGTAAAGGAAAGATTTAGAAATGATCATCAAATATTAAATAGATAGCCTTTTCACAGGGGAGTCACTGGGTGATAAAATGCACATTTTTAATTTTCTTATTTTTGATGTTTTTTTTAGTTTTTTCACCCAATACTTTACCATCAAACTTTCAAATATAATCTTCATAAAGTAAATTTAAAGGAAAGATGTAGAAATGATCATCCAATATCAAATAAATACCTTTTTCATAAGGGAGACAATGGGCGGTAAAGTGCACATTTTTAATTTTCTCATTTTTTCATGAAAATTTTCACCTGCAAACTAAAAAAAGTGCCAATGTATCCTCCATTTTACATACTACAAGATCACAGACTTATCAAATAAAATAAGATTTATGAAGTTTTGTGGAGGGGGAGTCAAATTTTCATTATGAAAATCTGACTGGGGGAGTCAGATTTTCATGTTACTCCGGCACTGTGCAAATCACTCAAAATCATCCAGAATCGACCTGTCACCGATTTTTCCAAAATGGGATGAAAATCAATCTTCCACACTGGTCCTTCATAAAAAATGTAGAAACGCGCCCGGGTCACTTCATTAAAGCCCCTAATTTCAGCTTTAAAGATTGCCAAAAAGCACACCTGAGAACAGGATTTGGAGAGAGGGGGGGGGGGTGGAGAGAGTTTTTGTTCTATTTCTTCCTTAATAATGACACAACCACTCTTGCAGCTCGGCTTTGTGATTATTAAGAAATATCTGTATACTTCACTTCGTTTTTCAACAGTGGCTACTGTATACAAATTGCACAACTTCTTTATTTTTTTATTTATTCTACTAAAATATGTTTTCAACAGAAGATAGCAAACACGCCATAATCTTTTCCTCAGGCGCCACTCCATTCGTTAAAGAAAAAATAAACAGTGTTAAAGCGATAAATTACCGCCTTTGTCTTCCTGGAAATGTGAGATTCTACACTTTACGCTGTCCTTGGGCGATTGTTGGGACTAATGAACACTTTTAATGCGCTATAATTACTGCTTTTTCTTTAAGATTCTATTTGTAATAGAAATCGAGGACAAGAAAAAAATTACAAATTGAATGTAACATCATAAATCCTTGAAAACGGGTGGAATAGATAACAAATCCGATTGTGTTTATTGCCAGCATGCAGCGAGATCGTTAATAAGAAACCAATAACGAACAGCCCTCAGGGGCGGATCCAGGATTTCTTAGAGGGTGGTTAGTTTTTATTTACCCCGCTGAACTGGCTCAGCCGAATGGGATGGGTAACCATGTATTATTCACAACCACTAATTTCATTCCCACAACGATCCATCCATGAGGTTAAAAAACAATAACATACCCGTGAAACAGAAAATAATGCTTTGCTTATTACGCACGCTTGATCTTATAAAATGAAGCGAGCATTTGAAAAAAACATGAAAACTAGAGGATCAGAGAAGCGCTACCGCCTGAGGGTATTGTACCACCAGCTGGAGTAAGCGCATTCGTATAGAAAAGTAAAAAAAGGGTCACCACCTCCAGTGTTGTGCTTGACAAGCTCTACAAAATGCAGTAAACAAAAGTTAACTGCGTCACGTCCAGCTCGATGTAGCGAGTCAATAAAAATATAATTTCAATCGGTTGACGAGAGGAATTAAAGTGAACTTGATTTCTCTCTGGTTATGACACGCCAGAAGAGGGCGCGATTGGCGTAGAAGAGTTCTCGTGTTATTCAGGCGATTGACACGGTACTGTTAACACGCTTATGATTACGACTCCGTAGACGACATGGATGATGAGTCCAGTGGAGGCGAACATTTTACCTTGGCTGATGTAATGAAAAAATGGAAAGTAAAAAGAAA